ATTATTATTATTATTATTATTATTATTATTATTATTATTATTATTATTATTATTCTTTTGTTGTTTCTAGTGGTCCTTTTCACAAATTTTATTAGATGCTTATAAGGGTTAGCTTGAAAATTTTTTGCTCAATCTTGAAAAAAAAGGATTGGATTTTGATATTATTTCCTGATTTAATATCGACCTTTTGATGTTTAGTGAGTGTATGGGAAGGATTGTGATGTTGTATGAGCCAAAATAGCTCAGAATTAGTACTGCCTGCAATAGAAGTGATGCAGTTAAAGAAAAAAAGAAATGTGAGGTTATTTTATTAGTGTATTAGTTGGAAAAGTGATTATTTGTTTTTAGGATAACAATAATTCAAGCTTCTACTTATATTTGTATAATTAAGCGTCAAACATCCAAGCATTAGTAGTAGAATTTGACATTTGAAAATTGTAGAAGATGTCATAAACTAAGTACGGTTTTCTCAACCAATCGATTAGCTAGGAAAAAGGACCACCGTTACTCGTGGTTAATTTGAATTATTCTTTCTAATGAAACTCTAATGGTTTCAGTTCAATCCGCTGGGTATAAGAATGCGGACAAAGCTATAGCTTCTTCAAGCGATCAACACAAGTTTGAAGTTCAGAAGAATCGTTTTCTTTGCTTTGAGTTACTTTTTATTGTATGGTATCCATACTTTCTCCTTTTTCTTTATTTGGTTAGTGTGCATATTTTGAAAATTACCAATGGCATCTATTTTTTCTGATTATTTCTGTGCCATAAAAGGGGCTGCCAATAAGTAATATTACGTTTGGGCCTCAGTATATAGAAATGCAAGCCCGAATGACAGAGGTTTTGTACTTTCATTCTGCCTTTTTTGGTTTGGACTGTAAATGTCATTTCGATATTATTGTGTAGTGATGTATATGTAAGATTTGCAGAGGCCTTGGGATGGATTACGGCACATCTCGGCTCACGTAAGTTAGACTGGTATTGTTCATATTAGATGAACTATGAAACCTGTTTTTAAGCTGTATATTGTTCATGTTCAGACAAGGTGGTGATAATTTTCCTACGATTAGAAGCATTTTTTTTTTCTTGCGGGAAAGTGAAATTTTAGTCTAAATGAGCTTCTTTAGTAATTTTTACTGATATTTTCTCGGGCGTGCAATATGCAGAGGAAATACTGTGGATAGCCATCGATTGATATGCTTTGTTGATGCCACCTACGGGGTTTGGGTACCCACCGCAAAGGACGTACGGGCAGCCTCAGAAGTCAGCAGCCTAAGAGAACAAAGAACAAGGCATGGATGGGGGTTGAGTTGGGCTTAGGATTGGAGGTTGGGCTGCTAGGAGGCTTGCTGATTGGGGAGATGGCTTCAGATGTCGGGGACGAGGCTGCCTATGCGGATGGGTACGGTGACAGATGACATGTGTGGCGGCTTCGCTTTCTAGATTTTTAGTCCTTTCGCTTATTTTATTTTTCTTTTTTCCATGTGAAGCGGTTGTACTTGGTGATATGTATTGATCTACTATGAAATTGATTAAGAGTTTCATTATATTTTAGTTTTCTCAATGCTTTGTACATATAAGACTAATGACAATAAGTTGAGTTCCTATTAGAATTAAAGAGATAAAGTGTTTTTTGTTTTGTCGTTTTGGTTTGGAGATTTCTTCAAGAAAATTGGGTTATTCTGTGTTGATTGTACTTCGTTGAGTTTTTAATTATTACGTACACATTAGTTAGTTCAATGTTATACTACATTTATATCTATTAGTCTATATATGTATATGGAGAGATATTTGTATTTACTTGAAATACAAATTAAATTCTACTTAAAATTGGTAAACTTGATAATCTTTTTTAAATTTTTTTCAAAAATTCCGCCTCAAGAAATTAATTAATCAACTTATGATAAATTTGACAATAAATCCAGTTTTGGAATAATTTAGGCGATTTTATTTGATATATTTGATGCCAATATTATTTTTGGTAAGAAATATGTTGTTATTAATAAATTATCGAATTTATGGTTAAAGTGTGCGATTTTATTTTAGTATAAAAGGTAATTGTATGAATTTTATTTAGTATGAATAGAAGTGTAATTGAAAATTCTGAAAACACACTAAGTGGTATTCATTTTATTGGTATGAGTATGAAAATCGAATTTTAGGTTGATTTGTTATAAAATAAAAGTGATATGATTCTCAAATTTTAAAATATTCACGTAATAACTTGATATAAGATATTCATGATAATTCAAAAAATATGTGTGTATTCCCATGATTCTAAAACTGAATCGGTTATCGAGTCAGTGAAGCTACCGGTTTAATAGTTCACTGGTCGGATTAGTGGTCGAACCATTTTAATTAATATAAATTTTTTTATTTATTTTATATGTATAATATATGATTTTATATATTTTTATTATTAATTTTATAATTCATAATGACATTTTTGTAAATAAAATTCAATTATAGATATAGCCGACAATGTTGATAATTTTTTTATATATTTTTTATATTTAAAATTTTAATATTGAAAACAATAATTGAGAAAATAAAGTAAAAAGTAGATGAGCAAATAAATATTATGTCATTATTCTATAGAATGGGCCTTAGACAACTAGAACTAATGAAATTTCATTTACTACTATAAGCAAAATAATTCTTTGGATGTCACGTAAGCCCAATCTGGGCCATTTATTTAGTGATAGGCAATAGTACTTATTTGTGAAAACTGAAATCCCACATCAGAAACATATATATGAAATGTCTGCTATTTAAATGATCTACCAACTGGACAATTGTAATAATCAAAACCTACTCGACCGTTGCCGATTTAGCGGTTTTTGACCTGGTTGAGATGGTTCGCAAATGGTTTTGGACTCCACATGTTGCATACCTCCAATCGGACCGGTTGTCTTCGTCGGTTCTCGGTTGAACTGGCCGGTCCAGTCCAGTTTTCAAAAACTTGTGTATTCCTCTTGAGTTGAGATGGTTCGCAACCGGTTTTGGACTCCACAGGTCGCATACCTCCAATCGGACCGGTTGTGTTTGTCGGTTGTTGGTTGAACCTGCCGGTCCAGTCCAATTTTCAGAAACTTGGGTATTCCTCTTGAAAAACACAAAGATTTTAAACAAATATTGATTACTAAACAGTCAATATTAACTTAGACGTTAATGGAATATTCATTATGTATAGATTAATAAATTACTCAACTACTTTAATTTTTTGATTTGAATAGTTTATACCAAAATAAATTCATTTAATTGATGAAACAATATAAATTTTATAATTATACTTATTATCCACATAGATTCTTAAATATAGATAAAAACTTTATCAAAAATAAATATTTTATGGAACCACATTGTAGTCAAATAAAATTCCTGAATAAAAATTATAATATGACACTTATTTTGAAATGAATATAATGTAAGTGATTATAAGTTAAATGCACCGGTTGCGTACTAATTTTAAATAGACATGTTTTATGTACTTTGCACAATTTAAATTTCATATATCATTTTCAATACAATAAAATAGGTAAATTTTATTACATATTGATTTAATACTTTTAATTTATAATATTTTCTAATGACTATTTTTAATTTATCTACATTAATGAATATCTCTTATCCGTGCATCGCACGGGATTTGTACTAGTTAGTATTTAATATGGCAGAAAAAAAAGTATAACGGTTACATCTTATATTTAGGTATAATTGAAATATTTTTAGCTTGTTTAGATAATTTTATAAAAAAAAAATATAAAAGACACAATAAATGTAATAAAAATTACAACTTAAAGTAAGGGGTGCAAATTCCTCAATTATGTTGTCATGGGACACGTGACCCTCTTTTAAACTCATCCTAAATTTATCAAATTGGAAGGAGTAACTTTAAGAAAATGTGTCCCACATCGAATAACTAAGGAAAGCAAGCCGTCATTGTTGTGTATAAATAATTATTATTGCTAGTAACTTTATCCCACATCGGAACTCAGAATTCCGCCGCTTCAGACATATATAAATTAGAACTTGACTAGTGTATGGAACAAAGAATAGTTATAGCAGAATAAAAATGATAATAATAGTAGTTATAGTAGTAGTAATAATAAGTGTTCCTCAAAATCTTTATTTAGTTTGCTTTCGGACTACCTTGTAAGGTCATTGTTAAAGTTGATTCGATCGAGGTAAAATAGGATTGGTAGCTACGGATACCAAGTAAAAGTTCATTTTAGCTACACTCAATTATATGCTTATATATGAGTATTGATCGAGCTAAAATAGGATTGGTAGCTGCGGATACCAAGTAAAAGTTCATTTTAGCTACACTCAATTATGTGTCTTAAGTGAATAAGTGATTTTATGTGAAATTAATGTTAATGTGTATTTATATTACTAATTAGTATTTGGATGCAAAATAATATCAACGTGTATTTATGTTGTTAATTGAGAATTGATATTTGTCCTTGTTATTGGACATAACATATATTTCTTGAGCATGTGCATGCATATTTCATAGTTAAATACTATTTTGCATGCACGACATAATAAGGAAAAAGAAAAGAGCTTTTTATTATTTGGTCGCTACTAGTGCACCGAGGTTAAGTGCTCCGGGAGACATTGCTTCAAGGCGTGTGAGCTGGAACTAGACTTGACATATTATTATATTTAGCTCAGTGCCCCATGAGACATTACTTCGGGCGTTTGAAACGGAACCAGACTGAGCCATTTCAGTGCCCCGCGAGCCATTGCTTCAGGCGTGGGAGACGAAACCGGACTGGAATAGATTACTGACCATTATGAGCTCATTTCCAGTGCACAATAATTATCCCAAAGGGTCCAGAAATAGAAATGTATTTCAGCAAGAAAATTTCACATCATGAGTCATATACGAGCATTTGCATTTCATGTTAGAATGCATATCAGTTGGTGATATTAATCCTTGACATGCATGATTTTTACTTATTGAGCTCTAGCTCATATAGTTTATGCTTTGTAGGCGAACATGTTGACCATTAATCGCTAATAGCTGGAGATGTTGAATCCAAAGGGCTTTTGAGGGCATGTACATAAATGCAGACCTGGTAGGAAGTCAAGTGGGCCTATGCCCTTTTTATAGTTTTGATCCTTTTGACAACACTGAATATGTTTAAAATTTTGTAAATCCATTCGGATTCCTTTTGGGAAGGTATAAACTAATATGCTTTGTGTTATAATATAATATTTTGGGCTATGTAAACAAATAAACCTCGGTTTTTTATAAGTTATTTTACGGAAAAATGTGACTCGTATTTCAAAATATAAGAACATTTTGGTAGTAGAAGTTCGGTCGTGACAGTACATATGCTTGCAGTTTATTTATTTGTGCAATCATACTCCTTGTCTTACATTGAGATTGTATGGTTTGCAGTGTCTCGAACAGAACGATCATCTATCGGTTCCTTGTAAGACTAAATTATTTCTTCATAGTCTAGACAGAAATTGAGACCCCTCTTAGAAAAAAAGACTAGTGTAATATGGATTCAGTTTGTCTTTGACTGAATGTTTACACTAGTACTTATGATAAGTATTGAACAGGACTGCGGAAGGATAAGATTATGAGACTCACTGCTCATAGTTGTAATCTTGACCTTCAGTAATTGATGCGTTCTCTAAAGCCGTAAGATAATATAAAACGGACATATATATATATTCATTATATATATATATTCATTACTTGTGTATTTGATTTATCAAGGGTGATTCCTATTATGTTAGGATGACATACTCGGTACTTTAGTAAATAAGGGTGTTTATACAATCGGACCGAGCCCAGCCCAGTCTGATCGGGCCCGAGCCCGACGTGCCAAGTCCCCGGCGACCCGAATCCAAACGAGGAGGCCAAGTCTGGCCGCCAACGGACTCTGCCGTTCAGACGATCTCCTACAGAGGAAATCAGAATCGTCTCAGATTCTACAAAAAATTGTAAAAGGTAATGTCCTAATCCTAACTATAGATTCCACTGTGTTAGGATTTATTTTGATAAGTTCAAATTGTATATGTCGTTAACGTTCCTAATAGAACCCAACAAAAATATACCATAAAAATAATATAAAGTTGTTATAATTTATAAGTTATACTTTTCATAATTTACCATATTTCTCACATGTAATACTTACACATCATTACAATCACAATAAGGTCAATAATATTATAAAAAAAAAACATATTTTTTTTTCTCAATTCAACATAAGAAAATCATCAATAATAATATATATATATATATATATATATAACAAAAAATTTATATTGTAGTATAGTTGACTCGACAATATAATTGATGAATATATAATTTATAAATATATTACAAGAATTCTTCATACAGTTATAAAACACATAAAAGATATATTTTAAAGTTAGATAAAAAATTATATCGCAA